TCGCGCTCGACCACCTGCATGCGTCCGGACTCCGCATCCTTCGCATCTGGGGCTTCAGTGATGTGAACAGCAAGCCCACCGACGGCAAAGTGTACTTCCAGCTCCTGCAGAATGGAAATGCGACCATTAACACTGGCTCTGATGGCCTCCAACGTCTCGATCATGTTGTAGGTGCCGCTGAGAGGCGGGGTATCAAATTGATCATCAACTTTGTCAATAACTGGTCCGACTTTGGGGGTATCAACGCATATACCACCGCGTTTGGAGGCACCAGTACTAGCTGGTACACCAGTCCTACGATTCAAGATGTCTATCGCAAATATATCAAAGCCGTTGTTTCGAGATATAGTCAGTCACCCGCAATATTTGCGTGGGAATTGGCCAATGAACCTCGATGCAATGGCTGCAACACATCCGTCATCTATAACTGGGCTGCATCTACTAGTGCTTATATCAAGTCCCTTGACTCTAAGCACATGGTAGCTATTGGAGATGGTGAGTGGATTGTCAAAGCTACCATTTCAGGGGGTACTGACCTCGTATGCAGAGGGATTTGGTTTGGATATTGGATCAGACGGGAGCTATCCGTTCACATACGCCGAGGGCCTCGACTTTGCAAAGAACTTGGCAATCGACACAATTGACTTTGGAACGTTCCATCTCTACCCTTCGACTTGTATGTATAACTGTTCAAACATTGTCCCGTGCTTCGGGTTGGGACAATACTAATATGAGCCATGTAGGGGGTGTTTCTAACTCTTTTGGCAATGGCTGGATTACGGCTCATGCCAAAGCTTGTGCAGCTGCACAGAAACCCTGTCTCATGGAAGAGTACGGGGTCGACACTGACAAATGCACTATCGAAAGCCAGTGGCAGCAAACAGTCCTTGGCACCAAGGGAATTGGCGCAGACCTTTTCTGGCAATATGGAGATAAGCTCAGCACCGGAAATACCCCGAATGATGATTTTACTATTTACCGCGGCACGGATGATTACAAGTGTCTAGTCACCGATCATGTCGCTAATAAATAGGTACGGGCAGGATCGCCAGGATGTTCCTGACTTCTAGCTGTTCGGCGGCAGGACTCTTGGCTGGAATTGTGCTTAGCAGGAATGATATCTTAGTAGCAATCTGCCAGTTACTAAGAAGTATCCTACCTAGGTAGCAAATCAACAAGCCACTCATTACTATGATTACTATGCCTCGAGGCACCTGTAGGGCTGATATACATATCTCTCGATTCAGTAGCCTATCTTGTTCATCCACCGGTAGGATACGAAAGAAGTTAAGATTACTGAATAGTGTAATGGGGCTTTCCGCTCTCAACATCGGCATCCCAGAGTCATGTGATTGAGGCATTAGCAACAAGGCCATCTTTTTGTTTCGAGAGGTTAAGTAGCGTTCGTTCGATAGTATCAATAACAATCATGCATGTTCCCCCTTAAATATTTTTGATTCTAACCTAGGATATATAGTATTATAGTTTACTGTAAAATAGGTATAAATCTTTAATTTTATCTACTTTAATGTAATGGCAAACACTAAGGGACAGGCTAGAGACCTGTGACTAGGCAAGACTTCGGATGGAAATCAAAGAGGAGGAGAATCAACCAATAATACGTGTGAATAGTAACAGAGACTACTTCTTGAAGAAACTTCAAGAACAAAGGAAACACTGCGTCAAGTCATTCATCCTGACTATCACGTGAATCAGGCACGAATCGGGCACGAACCCCTAGCGTGGCTGAGACAAGATCGGATTGCCAAAGGGAATACAAAGAGAGTTGATTGCTTCTTACCGAAGCTCACCCTCTTTGATACGAGCCCCGTGACACCTACAGTCAGGCCCGCTGTACCAGGTCCCTTGGGTTAGGAATACTATTTAAGATAAATCTAGAAGACCTATATTAAAAAAGGTTATCCTGTTATAAGAATCTCGTGCGTTACCTATCTTACTATATATAGTGGTACCTAGGAATATCGAAGCGAGAGCTTCGATATTGTGGTCTTTTTAGTCTATTGGAATAGCACGTGAGCCTAGGCATTTGCTGTTACATATATAACTATAGCTATGAAGTCCTAGAATATTAATATTATAGAATAACTTTAGATAACTATACTAATGAAGAAAAATATGATTATAGAAACCTCAACTAAACAGATATTAGAGGATTATAATTCAAACTCCTTAAAAGTAAATTAGGTTTAGTATAGGTTATGAAAATAACCTATTCTGTGTTAGTGTAGATTACAAAATTTACCAATCTAGAAAAGTAATCTTTCGATACTTCTATCTACTACTATTATATCTTAGTAGAATCAACAATAACTCACTAACTTTGTAGACGTATAACTCAACAACCAGAGAAGATAATAATAATTGGAGAGTATTTTCAGAGTACTTAGAGTCTATAAGAAAAATATAATATAACGTTGAAAGTTAATAATGGATGTGGGAGGTTGGCTCAAGGTGATGATTACAGGTATAGATTACAAGAGGGCTGACGGAGGTATCAGTAAGAGAGAGTTGAAGTTCTGTGGTCATTCCGAAGAGAACAACATTGCCAAGAAGTGCCTTGAGGGCAGCTCAATTAGTCCCTGGTTTTAACTGTAGAGCCATAGAGAACGCTTACTTTATCATAGTAGACTAAACCATAGTCTGTAAGATATCAGTTCCCGCACAAAAGGCGTGGTTTCAAGGTGAGTCTTACCAATCACCATTGCAGGCATGAGAAACAAATTTATCTTTCTTAATACTTTTTTCTCAATTTCCGGATCGATTGGCGTCGCTTCATATCGAAGGTTGGTGGTTTCGACGAACATGTTCTTTTGAATTGCATTTGCGTCGAGATCCTCGGCGGGGCCAGCGGCCGCGTTGTTTTCTGGCATACCGATTCAATTCTCTTCGCTTAAGGGACACTTTTAGATATATGAGCCAAGCCAGGCTCAGGTTTAGAGTTAGATAAGATATTCCGGTGGTCCAAATCGTAACATTGGAAGCAGTTCGTATTCACGGAGTTCGGATAATCCGAGACAAGAGGGAGAGCAGCGAGGGCAGATTCAAGATGAGCCTCGACCAACTTGCGTGTATGCAAATTCCCAAGCCATCCAGGACTGAGAATAGCCGCAGCTCATAAGTGATTGGCGTGCACAGTCTGGGGAAGACACCATGTATTGACTCCTTATATCTCCGAAAAAAAGGCCAAGAAAGTCAGTCCATATTAGGCGGAGGTGCGGGGCAATCAAAAGGCGCTACAAATCCCTCGGAAAACATTTCTTTTCCGTGGGAAAAAGCAAATTCAAGCCTAGGTTTTGAATGGGAGAAGCCGACCGATGGATTATGAGGTATCATGGTTTTATGTATGATGTCAACACATAAAGATCATTCCGGCATTGGAACCGTGGTAGATGTCGGGATCTAGTGAACAAGGATTCAACCCAAATGCCGAGACCCCACTTATTCTCCGAGACGGAATATGTACTCAGCCATGGGGATTGGCCGACTAAAGGCTTGGAAGGATAAGCGACCATCTTGCATTATGATAGGTTCTATAACACAATTTTCCCAAAACAACATGATTCAAGAGATTGAGACCAGAATTTTAAACCACACCTAATACCATTCTACACACTATATACTTTCTACTAGTTATATCTAGCCCAAGGGAAAGAAAACGTAGAAAACAAGAAGTGAAGATAATTTTGAGTGGCCCTATAAATGATCATATTTGAGAGAATATTCATACTTCAAGGCATTATTGATATCCTTCTGCCTACCTCTCATTCTGACTTTCCCTTCCTCGTATCTTTGTAGGTAAAAGTCAGTATAAGAATTAACATTTCGGCGAATGAAAATACATACGTGTTCGGTCCTGTCTATAAAAGTATCTATGGCTAATTGCCCCAAACACAGAAACAACAATCGTTCTTCCAAGGCATTCCATTATAGCCATTTTGGGCCATCCATCTTGATGAGCGAAAAAAATAGCGAAAAGAAATAGGACAAGATGGATGCATAGCGAGCAGATTAATTGGATAGCGTAGGTTCTCGTGATGCCGATTTGAGCAATGAGCCAGACTGAGAAAGCGGACAGGGCGCCTTCAAATAGACTGCCCCAAAAGTTAGCCCACTCGGGTGATGGTGGCACCGAGGCGAGAAACCCTTCAAACATTTTGGTGGGAAAAAAAAATCGCCTGGGTTGGATGGATCTGTGTCGGTATTTTATTTATGAATTAGGAGACGGGGTTTCGATTGGAACGGGAATTTCGGCCCCTTTTCACTCAAACGCCTCGGGTTGCGGGTCAACAACGAATGAAGTCCACCGGTGACAAATGGAAGAAAGAAGATCACTTAAGAATCGAGAGGGAGATATATGGCGGATGATAATTCGCGGCCAAGGGGGACGACCAGGATTCTGCCCGCCAAAAAAAATTGCCTTACATAATATCCCCCCGGGCTATCGTCCGCCATACATACAATTATTAAGGTGACACAAGGCTTTTCTTCAATGGTATTGGCCCCAGTGGTATTGGCCCCAGTAGATTGGCCCCAGTAGATTGGCCCCAGTAGATTGGCTCCAGTAGATTCATTGAATCGCTAAGGCTGACTTCGCCGGAAAAAAAAGCCTCTCGATTTTCAGAGACTAACGCAATACAGTAATAATCGGCCTCAGTGCATGGCTCAAACATTAAATCGTGCATACCACGGAGTAATTCTCGCATACTATAACAACATGAGCCTACCTTACAGGGGGTCATATCACCGCTTAGCATGAGGTACTAGATAGTGTCGGATAAGGCTGTGCCGCAAGCTTTTCAGTCTATTTTAGAACTTGCATATGCATGTCGGGTGTAGAAATGCCACAACCTCGAGCGTCCATATTAGGTATAAAAGCAATCATCACTCCTTGCTTCTGGATTCATACAATCATCAACACCCTTTCTCTTCATCTCACTATCATCCTCTCTCAATACCTCTTCCTCGGCATTAGATTGAACATGAAAGTCTTCAATTACGGCCCTTTGGCGTTTTGCATTCTGTCTACCGAGGTCGCTGCTTATATACCTGCTCATGGATGGAGAATCGCAGCAGGAGCAGGCTCAGCAACCGTTACTTCCATCGCCAACAAATTCATCGGCGAAAAAGCGGGTGTTATTGTTGCTGCTCAAAGTGGTGCTCTACATCTAGTCGACTCCATTGACACCTGTTGGACGGCAGGGGAAACCAGGACGCGAGAAGATGCGAAAACCTGTGCCATTTCCGTCATCACCACAGCTGGATCATTTGCCCTTGCTTACAACAACTTCCAACAAACCGGATCCTGGAGTAAAAGAGACGATGGATTCGCTCATTTCGATGACTACTTTAGTCAGATGGGGGACCATATTTCACTCAGTGATATTCATTATGAGGGGATGCCTCTCAACCATACACACTTACCCCAGTCATTGGGTAAGCGTGATGTCTATGATTCTGGTGTTCGTGCCTTGCACAACTCCAGCATGCCATTAAGCTTTGTCTTTCATAATAGAAAGACCAACCATCTGCCTCTTCTGGTGGCTACCAATGGAACCCATCATCATATCGGACACCTTCAACCCGTTGATGATGCTACAAATGTGTCATCAACCCGCATGACCCGTAGAAATGATGATAACATCAACCCGGGTTTCACGCATGTTGGAAAGGGCGGCGTCAAAGTACAGTGCAATTCCAAATATGCCACAATGACAGACACCCAAGTTCAGGAGTTCATGGACGAACCTGTTGGACCCAATACTAAGAAGGCCGGTCTGGATTTCTTCCTTGATATCGTCAACTATTCAAATTTTGCTGGATTTTCTTTCTCTGAATGGATCAAGGATGATAAGAGAAACTACTTGGATGGTCAATGGGCTATGGAGGGTGAGACTAATGGATTTGGAAGTAACTGGGAAAGTAACTGGAACTGGTGCTTTGGTGTCTATCCGACAAACTGTGAGAAGGAGCTCTAAGCTCACATCAGTATGATTACTAGGGAGAGATATAAATATCAAAACTATCCACAGCGTGGCCCTTAAAGACTTCAAGTTGTACTCCGTACGTACCGATCGCTCGTCCTTGTCATTTATCGCAGTAGATCTGGGAAGGTAACAATGGCTACAATCACAGAAGCCTTAGAATATGTGCAGGTTCCCGAGACATCAGAGTCTCTAGAATGGGCAGATTTGAGGACATTAGATCTCTGTAAGTTCAACTGACCTGGAGGTAAACAAGAGCTCGTGGCTGAGTTTACTAAAGCAATCGAAGATCTTAGTAAGTTGAGCAGTACTTTTTTCAGCGCATAATTGGTTAATCAAACGAAGAAATGCTGAAACAAGAATCTGGCAGGATTTTGTATGTCAAAAATCACGGCTTGAGTAGAGAAGATATTGATCATCAATCTTGCTACTCCCAAATGAGGAAAAACTCACATACCCCGCCACTCTTGAGGAAGGCGACTCCAATGGTTGGAAGCCAGCCGGAACAAGAAACCTTAAACCTGACATCAAGGATAACTTTGAGATCTACAATATTCCGAAATTTATACCCAAACACGCAGGCAGGGAGTATCCGAAAATTGTCAAGAACCACATTAACAGCATTGAAAAATTCTCAAAGCACATTCATGAGAATACTGTGAACAGACTTTCAATTATCTTTGCACTTGCACTCGAACTTGATGATGAGGAACGGTTTGCTAAGAAATATTGCTATGAGAAAGCAAGTGGCGAACATTTACGTTACAGTGTGTCCCGAAACTGGTGTCACCACCTGTAGAATATAGTAATCTAGTATTAAATACTCTAAGATTTGTACTATAAAGTAAAGACCCCTATAATATATAGTCTATAAATTCTCCAATACTTCTATAGACTATATACTATTAGGGTTAAATCTAGAGTTAGATAAGTATACTCTATCTATATAGTTTTTATTAGGAATACTATTTAAGATAAGTCCAAGAGACCTATATAACTATAGCTATAGGACTTTAGAATATTAATATTATAGAATAACTTTAGATAACTATACTAATTAAGAGAATAAAATTATAGAAACCTTAACTAAACAGATATTAGGGAATTATAATTCAAACCCCTAAAAGTAAATTAGGTTTAGCATAGGTTATTAAAATAACCTATTCTATATCATTATAGATTACAAAATTTACCTATCTAGGAAAGTAGTCTTTCTATACTCCTATCCACCGCTATTATATCTCAGCAGAATCAATAATAACTTGCTAACTTTACAGATATATAACTCAACAACCAGAGAAGATAATAATAATAAGAGAGTATTCTCAGAGTACTTAGAGTCTATAAGAAAAATATGATACAAAATTAAAAGCTAATAATAGACATGGGAGTGTGAGGACTCAAATATTGAAATATTGTAGTATTTTAACGAAAAGTAACAAAACTAGAGAAGAGAAAAAGAGGGAGAGAGCTCTCATCACAACTATCATACATAAGCTACTAAAGTAGCTAGGTATTTATATATAGTTACTGAAGGGATATCCTAAGGTTGAATATCTATATATATCTTCTAGATTTAGTATACTATAGGAGGTAATTAATACTGTATTAATATAGGAAGAGTAGCTAGTACAGATCTAGATATAATTAGTTTTGTATAAACTACTATACTTAAGGAGACTTATCTGATTTACTAAGATAATTGGCTTATTGTTAATTAGGTAGATCCAAAATTGATATATTATAAAGGACTATATTTTTTGTTATATAGTGGTGTGGTAGCTAAGGTATAGAGTCTTATTAGTGAGGTAGAAGAGATAAATTTAAATATAGATATAGCTATAGCTGTCCTTATAGGTGGTATAGTACTTTAGGAACTAGTTTATACTAACTAGTATCTGGTCAGTATTATATAGGATAAGGGTTTGGTTAGTGTCTATAGTTAGCTAGTTGATGGTTGAGAAAATAGTAATATTGGATAGGGTTAGAAGTAGAAGTATAATAGTAAATACTAAGGGATAGGCTAGAGACTAGACTGCGGCACTAACCGCAAAGACCGCGGTTAACCTAAAACCTAACCAAAACCGCAGCGGTTTTGGTCTTCATATCAAAACCGCAAATTTTTGCGGTTCGGTTTTGGTCTTCATCCCAAGACCGCAAAATTTTGCGGTTCGGTCTTGGTCTTCAAATGAAAACCGCTGCGGTTTTGCGGTTAACCGCGGTCTTGTAAACAATACAAACATGCTAAGCCTCGTGACCTGCTGGGCAGATAGATTTTTATGCAGTTTTTTTGGTAATTTTGTTGTTTTGGTCATGTATGAGAGCTCTGACTAATTTTCAGGCGAAGAGTCATCTCCAGGATATACGGAATACAGAGACTACAGAACAAAGAAACTGGATAGAAGAACAAATCAAGAAATATAATCTGACAGTATTTAAGCTACAAAGGCGCCAGTTGGAACCCCTCTGGCATTTTAGGCTTCTTGCGAATCCGCGTCGCTCGCTGTGTGCCTTCGTGTTCCATTTGATCCTCCTGCGAGCTAGTACTTCCAGAACGCGCTCGTTTTTGTGTCTCTCCTGATGGCTCCTGTCTATCTTCCTCCTCTTCCTCCTCCTCCTCCTTCTCTCCTTCCTTCTCTTCAATATCGCTAATTGGATCCAATGCTGGAAGAGGGGCTATTGATCCTCTGTCTTGTTCAATCATCGCTGCCTCACCCGCTAGTACAAGCTCTTTTGTAAAGTCAATCTCTCTCTGTTCAACCTCGAATTTTACAGCACACGATTGCAGCATCAACTCCTTGATAGTATCAGCGTTAAGGCGGCCCCGTCTGTAGTGACAAATATCTCGAGCACAGTTAAAAAGACGCTCAACACCTGCGCCACTCGCAGGAATTGAAAGAATATCCCGGGCTAGAGCAGCCAGCACTGGGAACTCTTTTTGATGCTCCTTCCAGAATAAACGGGGCTGTTGTGAAATAAGGCCTAGATAAAATTAGTATCTGAGATAGGCAGACAGGCAATTAGACTTACCTTTTGCAAGATATCGAGCCAGTTCATCATCATCCTCCTCTGCTGGTACTTCTGCTGCATAAAATGAAGTCTGTGAGTCACACAGCATCTCAATCTCATTAATATCACTGGAGTTCTGCTGGACATTAGAGGATGATTCTTCAGCCTGATCTGAAAATCGCCGTTTGTATCGCCAGAACTCTTTTTCAAGACGCCCACGATATCTTGCACCAAAATCAATATCCCCTTGCCAATCTTTTGAGGTAAAGAATCGAAGTTTCTTTGATGGGGCAAGAATGGTAGCAATACCATAAAGATCCCCATAAAACTCCTTATCAGTTGCTTGATAATACTCAGAAAGCTTTTCCCTTGCCGCCTGCAATGCCCTCAGCATTGATTTCTTCCATGGGAGTCTCTTTCGGCGAAGCTGGTTCTCGGAGTTCTCCAGGTGATTGAAAAGCTTATTGTAAACACCAAAGATAAGATGGATTGTGGTGTCTTTTGTTTTTGAGAGAGCAGTTGTGAACTTGAAGAATGGCTCAGTGATACACAGTAAGTAGTCGATCTGACGCCATTCTTCTTTGTCAAGCTGAAAATGGAGATAGCCGTGTGCTGTACAGTATTCTTGAAAGCTCTTCTGTAGTCGCTTGGCTCGGCCGAGCATCAGAAATGTAGAATTCCATCGAGTCCGTACATCTTGAAGAGGAAGCAGTCGAGGCTCCTGGGACTGGATTACAAGAAATGCAGCTCGGCGCTGAGGACTTGCATTAATAAAGATAGCAAGATTTCGGATCTACAGATAACTATTATTAGCTGTTATCCTCTCTCTCTCTCTTTTTGCTGAATCATCACATACCTTGTTCAATGTCTGGATAATCTCTCTCTTTGATTGCTGAGAACGCGCCTGGCGCTCACGGTCATCTGACCATCCATCCTCTGCCTCATTATTGGATGGCATTGCTTTTATTTTTCCGAGAAGTTGATTCAGACTCAGTTGGATCACATGGGCCAGGCATGGAACACGAAATATACCATTACCAAGCCCGTCACTTCCAACACCCTGACTTTTGAGCTCATCCTGAATACTGAGCATCATTGTATTGTTATTGGTAGCATTATCAGTTGTTACTGACAGAACCCGATCGGCAATTTTATACTTTTCGAGAATACCAATAACTACTGAGCTTAGGTTACTCCCAGTATGTGAGCCTTGTAAGGGTTCAAAGCCAAGTAGAGCCTCTCGATACTCCCAATCGTTATCCAGAAAATAACCAGTAATAGCCATAAAGCCCTGCTGGAAAGGTGATGTCCAGCAATCAAGTGATAGAGATAGTCTACTATCCTCTGGGAGCATATCTATTATACTCTGTTGTCCTTGTTGGATATTCGAGTGTAGTTGTCGGCTAATCGTCCGGGGCGAGGGTAGTTTGACCCGTGAGGGAGCAACAGCAATTAGATCAGCTAATTCCTGGAATTCTGGACGATCAAGGATACGGAATGGGAGCCGTGCGACGAGGATAAGAGATAGGACTTTCTGGGCAAGCGCTTCTTCAGAGAAAGTAGTTAAAGTTGCTCTTGAAGTTTGTGACTACAAATTATAAGTTATTAGCTAAAAGCAGTATCTTAAAGATAGTATATATACTTACCTGCTTCGCAAGTAACTTGCCAATCCCATGCTTTGGATGACAGGTATTCCCTTTCAGATGTGTGTTCATTGGTGATGTTCCTCCACGCCGAATATTTGGATGAGTAAGTGTAGTAAGGCAACGCTTACACATAACTTTAGGCTCTCCTGTCCGTTCATGAGCTACTTGCTCAAAGTGATCCCAGACTGAAGCTCTCTTTTTGTGGTCCCAATGAATGGTGGTCTCGATGTCTTTTCTTGTGCCATACTCTGTTTGAAGCCACCACTCAGTGAAATCCTTCCGAGTTTGGCCTGTTGCGGGGTCCATTTCTACAAGGATCCAAAATCGCTGAAGATGTGG